ATTAAATTAAATTGGCCGATTGGAATAAATATTTGATTTTCATCTCTCCGGATAACTTCCCTGGAAGTTTTTTCCTCTCGCCTGCGGAGCAACTTTTTGACGTTCCGATTGCGTGTCACCCCGGAGATCCACCACAGACTCAGACGCAGAGAGAGTCTTGCAATTTTTTTTTCTGAAAACTGCGTCATTTATTACATTTCTTCATTATTTTTCATTACATTCATTCATTAATCCCTACATTTTTTTTTACATTTATTCCTCGGTCGACCGAATCCATTCTATCGTAAATATACATACGAGTAATGGGTGAAGTGTCCTAGCGTAACTTTTATTTGAGTGCTTCAGTATTTGAGCGCTTTAGTGCTTCAGCGTTTCAGCGTCTTAGTGCTTCAGCGTTTCAGCGTTTTAGTGCTTCAGCCTTTCAGCGTTTTCGGTCATTTGGAATGAACGTTGTCATAGCGTTTGAAATGTCTCTTTCGGACGCGCTCAAGGCATCGCTGGCACAAGAGCGTTGAAGCGATGCGATGACGTTTCGCGTGCGACGCTCGATCGGGGCAGCGGGGCCTGCGATCCGGCGGTGACTCGAAAGGGTAAAGGTTCGTGCGATAGACGCGAGGTGACGCCAAAGTCGCCGATGCCGCGAACTCCGGCTTGGAAAATGGAGGGAGGATCTTTCGACCTGGAAGGGGACTCGATGGGATGTCGGCATGGATGCATATCGCGATCGTCACCCCTTCGCTGGGCGTGTCCGATTTCTCGAGTTGGAACCGGATGAAATGGGATGCTGAATGCATCCGGACCCCATCCGCCGCGGTGAGAGGCGGAAAGGCGCGAGCGGCGTCGCGGTGCTCGCGGTGCTCGCGGCGTTCCATAAGCCCTGCCTCCTTATTTTTTTGCTCGTTTCCACCTGGTGACTTTTCCCCTTCTTAGAATATGCTGGAACGTGAATCCATAGGGCGTTTTAGAGGTGGAAAAAAGTTGGAAGAAAGACCCTTGCACATCGTCTTCTGCCGACTTGGAGCGACCGGTCGTGAATCACTTCCAGTCGTGTGCTTGCTTCCAAACTAGTTTTCTCTAGCCTAAAAAATGAATCCAAGAAATTTCACTCTGTGATTGCGTGCGTGCGACTGTGTGCGTGCGACTGTGTGCGTGCGACTGTGAGCAAGCAACTGCGAGCATACGGGGCACTCATCTAGCACAAATCCTCCTCATTCAGAGTTTAGGGTCGTTCACCGTCTCGGCAGTTTTTGTGATCTCAGTAACAGTCTTTTAAAAAAAATGTTGAAGGAGGCGTCGTGCACGGACTTCGGTGGACATTCGAGGAGAGTGCGAAGCATGCCGTCTGTTCGTCGCGTCACCCGCGCCGGCTACTCTGCGGTAGCACAGCTCAGTCGGTGTAACTAAGTCCGATGAATATGTACTTTCCCGACGATGTGACGCGCAGAAAAGGGAGGAAACCGCATGGAATCCCCACACTCCGTTCTTCACGAAGGATCGATGAAGGCAATGCATAAAAGACACGCCGGTTGTACTTTAGCACTTCGTACTTTAGGCGAAACGTTGTTTCAACGTGCTAACGTTCGTTGCGATGCTGGCACTCCGCTGACGCCGTCAGTAGCGAGCGTCGCGTTAGCATCGCTCCAGAGCTCTTTTGTTTCCTGGGGATAGTCTCCGTCGCGTGGAGCTGCGACTTTTTTTTTAGCTCGTTCCTCTTGAGCGTCTCGAGTGCGACTGAATCCATTCGATCGTAGCAGAAGTCGGCCTGCATCCATTGCATCGTAGCAGAAGTCGGCCTGCATCCATTGCATCGTAGCAGAAGTCGTCCTGCATTCTCGTCTCTGAGGCGACGTCGTCGGAGACGTAATCGAAAGTTTATGCGATCCAGTGAGAAAAAAAAAGAGGATCCGGCTGAATCGATTTGAAGCGGAAGCTCGCCCACTCATGCCTCCATGAATACAATGAGAATTGCCAGCGCGTGTAGGCGGTAGCGGTTCTCTAACGAGGCCTCATGCGAATGCGAAAGCGGAGGCAATCGGGACGAGCAAGTTCATCGGCGAGGAGGCGTCCGAAGTGGGACGATCGTCTTCTGCGTCCTGTCGGCGATCGCGTCCGGCGGACATGGCGACTTCCGCGGACGAGGCTGCGAGAGAGGTGAGCGAATGCGGTCACTGTGCCGTCGAAGGGATTCGTCGTTGAGGTGGGGGGAGTCGCGTCGGCTTGAAGCACTAGGGTGGTCGGGGATCCGGTCCAGACGACGACCGGATCTTGGACTGCCGTGCCGGATATTGTCCAGAGCGATTTGCCGGACGGAAGGGTGTGGGCTCGTTTCGCATCGCTCGACCAAAAAAAGTCCCTCGTTCCCGTAATGTGAGCATTTCAAGTCCTTCTCCAAACAAATCTGGATTCTTGCGAAATTTCTTTTCTGCACGAGATGGCATTGGCATTGGCGAAAATTCGGCAACAGCCGGCCTTGAACCGACGCAGACGACGGATCAGCCACCGAGTTTGTCGCGAAGGAAACGCGCTGCACCGCCCCAGCGATTTCCTCGGGGCACCTTCCCCGCTCCCCGCCTCCTTTTCATTTCCAATCAGATCTGAATAATCGCTGCTTCACCTTCCTAAGTTGGTTTTTACGACCGGCTGACTGGTAGGATTGCATGACATGACATGCATGCCAGGCATGACATGACATGCATGCTAGGCACGACATGACATTGCGCGCGTTCCAAGCTACAGCATCAAAAGTGACTTACTTTGCGCTGATCTTTCAGCGAACGAATGGGATCATGCAGAAGGAGTCCGCATTATTTCATGTTCCTCTATTTTTCGTTTGATCCACCTGCTAGCTATCGAAACGACAAACGATATGCATTTTTGTAGCTCCTGGCGCGACTGGGAGGCGTCGTCATTCCGGAGGAAATCCGTCACCAAGTCTTCTTCATCAAGTTTCTCAAGGGTATGTCAGAGGAAAATTCTTCATTGGTATTTAAAGAGCCCACTTCGCCAAGAAGAACGAGCACTCGATATTCGCAAATAGACTTTTCGATGCCTCCCCCCCCCCCACCCCCGCCTTTGTCAAAATTGCCTCGGCTCGGAAATGGGCTTTCATTCATGCATGCAAACGTCAAGGGCAAAATGTGTCTATTCGTGTTAGGATGATAAGAGCAGTAAGCCATTAATGACTTCCACTGTTGCGTATTTCCTAGCGAGGGATTTCAACGTCGACCAGGCGGAGAAGATGTTCCGCGCCGTGAGTCCCATCTCGAACCTTCATTCAGATTCCTTCAGAATGCGAAAGTATTTTCCCAGGAAGGACAATTTTGGATAGACCAGCCGTCGTGGAAGCGATTCTAAGTTTCTCGAGCAAAGGAATGGAGGAAAGTGGGGAGTGGAGGTCGGAAATCCTCCAATGCAACTTTTCCGTTGGATGAAGTTTAACAAACGAATAGACCCTAGAACCTCCGAATTGATCCAAGGCCCTTGAAGCAACGAAACGGATCCCGCGAAGGTTTCTATCTGAATTTATGTGCAGCACCTGGAATGGAGGGAGAAGTGGAGGCCGGAGTACCTGCGGGACGAGTGGAAGGCCCCCCTAGTGCTGGAGGAGTATGGGGCGTTCGGGTTCATCGGGTACGACCTCGAAGGATCACCCGGTAAGGAACTTATTCGTCTGACATGCGTCTTTCCTCTTCGCTTCGACGTTCCATGTTGCGATTGAGCTGCTGAAAAAGTGCCAAAATACTTTTTAGCGTGTAAGGAGGGAATGTTCTGATGAAACTCTTCGCGACATGAATGAGGAATAAGAACAGTTTCTGCTGCATTTTCTACTCAGCTTAAAGGGCTACGACGTCCAAACTCTCAGAGCTGGCGATGATGGTTAGGACGTCATAGTTGATAGTTAGAACCTTTCAACCACGGGATTCCAGCCAGTATGCTTCGAGAAGCAGGCGTCTCCTAGGGGACACGCGTTTTTTAGTTTTTGCCAGGGGAGACCGCAAACGTCTAGGTAGTTTCAAAGTGGCCGTGCTCAACGAAGGCTTTGAAGAAGCTCTGGTAGCACCACTTTCGGGCTCAGAGGAATAAAGATTCCAGGGGATTCCCTCGCTCGGTTCGTCACCGTGGATGAGACATGGGTGACTTCCATCCGGAAAACGACATTACGCACGAGGCATGCGGATTCCCCAAGGAGCCACGCTGATTCCCCATGGAGGCATGCTGCACCTGCCTCGTTTCCGCAGGTCTCTGACCGCTCGGATTTTCATCGGTCCGTCGTTTGAAAGCAGGTGTCAGAGGAGCCCGGTGACGGTGACGATGACGGTGACGGTGACGGTGACGGTGACGGTGACGGTGACGGTGACGGTGACGGTGCCGGCGACGGTGACGGCGACGGTGACGATGACGGTGACGATGTCGCATCGTCTCCACTCCGGCGGTCACGGAGACAGAACCCGAAACCCCGCTTGCATCGGGGGGGAAATCACGCCGCGAGGTACCGAAGTCGTGCCAGCCGACATCGGCCTCGTCGCGATGGGGCTTAGAGCGTTTTGGACCGCCCTCGAGAGGCGTTCTCGTTCGACCCTCATCCGGTGAGTCCTTTGGACTCTCCACCGCACATTTTCCTTTCGCGATCACGCATTTGGAAAGATGCTTGGAATGGCAACTGACTTGAATATGAATTATTGCAGAAAAAATGTGAAAGATTTTAAACGAAACCCAAGGTGATAACGGTAATTAACGCTCGGATTTCATTAGACACTCTTGTCCGTTTACGTTACAAAAAAATCCCTTATCCGGACAACGGTTAAGGAGCGTGGAGTTCACTTGAGTCTTAGAGGAGATCCGGATATTTCGGTCATGTCGTTCTGTTCGCGTTGCGTTACGCGTTACGTTACGGCTTGGTGAGTGACGGGAGTTGCTACTGGCCTTTCCGTCCGGAGGTTTGAATAAAAAAAAAATTGAGAAGGACTGGGACTGCGACCGTGTGATCTGGATCCACAGTGATGTTGGCCGACCAGGGCGGGATGGACCTCAAGGGGATTCTTTCCTGCGTCTCCAAGGAGGATTACATCCGATGGGCAATCCAGAGAATCGAGAGGTGCCGGATGAAGATGCGGCTGGGCCAGGGGAGCAGGGACGGCGACAGGGACGAGATCGCGTCCCGGTTCGTCTTGATCTTCGAACTTTCCGGCTGGAGCTTTTCCGATGTCTTCTCCAAGTCAGGTCAGTGAACTGTTTCTATGCTTTTTTTTCAGCGATGGATAACTGAATTTTTTTATTTATTGGACCTGGACGATTCCGACTTCAGAGGCACCTTTTTTTTGTCTTTGCAACGTGCCAATTTTCAGCTCGGAATTGCATTCGTTTTCGTAAGAGCCTTTCGCACGCAGGAGAACAACCGAGTAGAACGAAAACGATTCAGCCGGCGGCGGGAATCCTCATCGTCCATCGCGCGTTTCCACCATTCGTGTTCGACCTTAAACCCACCAAGGAATCGCACGATTGTCTCGTTCTCTGACTTTAAATCCCATGAATTTTTTAAAGATCAACTCACCGCAAGTTCTTCATCGAGGAATTCAGTGAAAAAATCTTCCAACAGTAGCTTTTAACAGTTCAGCTCTCACGACTCGGGATGGTCATTTCTTGCGTAATTGAGCAGTGATGGAATTGGGCCTGGCGCTGACGCAGATGCAGGAGGCCAACTACCCCGAGCACCTCAAGCGCGTCTACATCCTCAACGGTAGGATCCGTTTCCGTCCTCTGGCTGTTTCTTTCTCCCGAAAGGGATGTTCTTAGCGGAGGGAGGTTCCTCCGATCAGGGCCCTGGTTCTTCACGATGGTGCTGGGCGTGCTGAGGCCGTTCCTGGGGCAGGCGACGCTGGACAAGGTCGTCTGCCTGGGGTCGAAGGAGCGACACGCGCTGACGCGGGCCATCTCGAGGGAGGTCCTGCCCAGGTTCTGGGGTGGGGACAGGGTCGACGAGGACGGGGATCCGAAATGCTCCTCCCTGGTGCCTGCTCCATCCTTACTTGAATAATGCTGAAAAGTCTACGATAGTACTGCATGTTGGAATGTAACCGCAGTCAGTTTAAACTTACTTTCTCTAGTAATTTAATGTGACGTATTACGCAATGGAAAGAACTAATTTGTGCAACATGAAATATTTTGCACAAATTCATAGAAAAAATATCTATATGCTAGTTACCTTGAAAATCACCATACTTCATTGAAACGTGATGCACAGATCGGGAAAGGCGGAAAAGTGCCCAAGTCCCTTTATCGAACGGGGAAAAATGCGAAGGAGGAGCCAGAAGAGGAACGGGAGGAGTGCGGACGCGGAGAGAGCGACGAATGAATCTTCACAGCCGGGAATATCTGTGCCTGGGATGTCGCGTTTCCCATCTTGAATCGCTTCTCGAGTAGGGGGTTGCATCGATATTGCATCCGTGCGGGATAGTGTGGGAGGGGGGGGGGGGGGGGGGGGGTAAGGAAGGGCCCAAATCGCGTTTATATTCTTTGTTTGCATTACACTTTTATATGTTCGTACCGTTAGATCTTCGTGTCCGGTGGCACATGAAGAGTGGGGAATGGATGACCGTCGCTGTGAATGGTTGCAGTTAACCCTCATGGAAATCAGAGGTGGCTCAATAGAAGTATTGATCAGCATTGCATGCTAAAGAAAGACTTTGGTCCTCTGCTTTGCTTCTGTTGCCGTCGCTGGTCGCCACGATTCGATCCTTCCAAATTCCGTGCATGGTTTCGACGTAGGTGTCATTTCTACTTGAGATAGCATCGCATATAAGTAACGGGAGAAAAATTCTTGTTGGAGAAGAATCACCTTCCAAAAAATTACATATCAGGAGCTAGTGGGGGCAAACAGCTGAAGAAAATTCATGCACTTTCATATGCGCAATCAACCGAACCACAGCCAGGGTTTCTTCCCAAACTAAGGAGGGAAATCGTAGTAAATTTTTGAAAATGAGGTAGCGAATGAGAAAGGTTCAAAATCAGCGGATGGTTTCAGCCGTCAGCCTCAGACCCACATGCACATCGAGTCCATCCATGGTTCTGTGCTTAAGCAAGACCACCCCGCTTTTCCTCCTTTCAATGACGTAGCAGAGAGCCGGAGGAGGAGGAGCCGCGGACAACCATCGGGATGCTCTTCCGATGCCGAACGAGGGAGCGGGAGCGAGTGGACGGTTCTCAGGAGGATGTCTCTGGGGAGATCCTCCTCCAGGAGTCCGGTCTCGACAGCCTTCGGTTTCAGTCTAGGCACGGCAGTGGAAAACTTAGCCCTAAAGTGCTTGTTATTTTTTGCGTCTTGATCGCCTGTTATCTGTTTCTTCTCGGCTACTTATTCCATTTGTTATCGTTATTTTTTGCCCGCAGTTCTTACTGGATATTTTCAGCTTGTTTCGTATGAAATTATGCATGTGTCACGCTGCACAATTTGATCATAGAATGAAGCATACCCTCTACTTTGATGCAATACGTGTTTGCTGCCTGGACTTCCAAGCAAATGCGGAATCGAGCTCATGTCCGAGCTGAAATAGATCTCGATTTTCCTTGATAGGACCCGATGCCTGTGTCACGGAGTCCCAAGTCCGATCAGAAGAGTCCTTACCTAATTGGTGCCCGCCGTATTCGTTTCAAAAAGAATTTCTTTACGTGAATTTGCACTCCTGGGGAACTGTAAACTTTGTGGCATAAAGAGCAGCCGATGGTCACGTCCTCGAATTGGTACTCATTTCCAAGATACCGTTAATGTAGTATTAGTCGTGCTTCGGGAAAGCACGAGTACTAGTTCATGAAAACGGGGAAGTAAAATTTAGAATTTCGCCAGTCGCCATCAAGGACGTCTGCCTTCTCATTTAGAGAAGAAGAGAAAAGTGAGAATGGTGCATTAAAACTGGAAGTGTCTCGGGCGGGAAAATTTGCGAGCACGTAGAATGCTCAAGATCTCCGGAAAATCGGTAAACTTTGTCAGCCAGTGCAGACAATTGCCTTCTCATTTTTTTCGATGTTTCTGTCGCATATTATTCATTCGATGATAAGCTATTAATACTTGCGCAGCATGCACGCGATGGGAGAGATGCCTCCCTCTCGTTCGTCTCTCTCGTTACAAGCAATCGTCGACTTCCTTCCAGCGAGTCCGCAGCCTATTGGGGCTGGGGCTGTGTTTAGTAACCCTGACGGCGGATCGTAATCATGAATAGAATCCTGCGCGGGTAGATTTTTCTCTACCGATCCGATCGGTTCAATTCGAGTCTTGGGCCACACCGAGAGAAAAAATGTCAACCCATGTATTCTGGTTTTCTTTCTCGTCATTTTTTTTATTGCAATGAAAAAAAATAGGCTATGGAAAATAAATACTGCCGACTGTCTCTTGCAAGAACGTTCTTCAATCGCGTGAGCAGCCATACTGAAATTAGCCCGCTGAGCACACCATACATGCCTGATCCTGGCTTTTCTAAAACATACCTATGACCTCAAATGAAGTCTTCTTATGAAATGACTTGGAAAGCAAAAGTGATTTCTCTCATATGATTACAAGGGGTTGCAGTACAAGCATTTTCATTCCCTGTTCATGAGGGGGGATTTATCTCGAATGAGAAAATTTCCTTGCAGTGTAGAAGCCAGGCGGCCTCCCGTCTAAATGGCGGCGTCGGCTCGAGGTAGCTGCCCCCTTCCCGTCTCAGATTCGGCTAGTCTTTAATTACTTTTGCAATTGCATATTAAATGATTCGCTGTTCCATTGATGACATACACAAACGCATTCCAGTTATACTGGATCACCCTGGCAGAAAATCCAGGGTCCTAGCCCAGAGACAAAATTTCTGAATAAAAACCATCATGAAACATTCATGCGGGTCGGGTCGGGTCGATCGGGCCGAACCGCGGGCCCGTGCAGGACCCTAATCCCGGCCTCCTCCTTCTGCCCGCTTCCTTCCGCGTCTGCTTTTACTCCTCTGCCTCTTGGCGCGGGTGCCACTCCGGAGGATTCGGTCTCATATATTGATTCAGTCATTCATTTTGTTCGGAGCGGTGTGGTCCCGCATCCTTTTCCGTGCGATCCTCATGGCTTCTTCAGTGGACGAGCGGGAGGCTTTGCGAAATGTGAGCCCTAGCAGTTTTGCGAGATGAGATGCGGAGGCCCTGGCCCCCCCCTCCCCCCCCCCCCCCTGGTCCACCCCCCCGGGCCCCCCCCTGGTGGGGAAAGAAATGTGGCCTATGCGTGGGCCAGTTTGCTTTCACCCATTTATTTCTAGCTCATTTTTTTCTGAATATTCTTCTGTTTTTTCATTAAGTTCATCTGATAATTACCATAAAAAGGTCTGAAGCTACCAATTCCGTTCGTGCAGTTACAGGAGAGGTTGCAAGACGTCACCATTCCGGAGGGGATCCGTCACGAAGTCTTCCTCCTCAAGTTCCTCAAGGGTATGACCACAGATATCCTCCTCTCGATTCGTCCGGCAAATGCTGGCTCCTTCTGCATGAGCAACGAGCAGTAAGAGAAATAGCATAGGTGTCTCCCGTGAAGAGATGACGGCTGGGGCAGGAACGATCTGTTTCCGTAGAGCGAATCGGCTCCAATGCATCTCTCTTCATATCCGAATACCGTCTCGTTTTTTTTTATTTTTTTTTTTTGAAGACCTCATACCACGAACGCTGGAGTGGATTCGCTCTTGAAATTTCTACACGCCTCGTTGCCTGGGATCGTGGTTGAATATCGCACTTGAATAATACCACTGGTGTTAGCGATGGACACGGAGACCGGATTCGCTTGAAATGAAGTCCACTTAAAAAGGAACAAAAGACTAAGTCAGACGTTCAAAAGCCCATGAATACCAGCCGTTGGCATATAACTGCATAGGTAGAATCAACCAGGGATAGAGCGCCTCTGCGAGCCAGATAAACACCCGAAATTTCGTCCTGAAAATGGGTGATGGCGGAAAGGGGATGGTAAACTGTTTTCCGGTGGTTCAACACATTTTTAACATGTTGAACCAACATGTTCAACATGTTCAAATGATGTGTTGAACCACCAGAAGAAACGCCTTTTGTCTGATTAAATTTTATTCCATACGGAGTCACTTTCTATTTAATTTTCTTCTAAGCGTTCTTGCTCCAAGAATTACCACAGTGGATTAGTTCGGTGGATTAGTCTGGATCTGAACGCTTCTGCCATCTGTGTTGGGGCTGTTAGCATGATCACCCTCTCTCGGCCGGAAGGGTCTGCAATACCGCAGCGAAAGGATGCAACAGCTGATCAGTGTTTTTGTCATTTTTTTTCCGCACTGGACCGCAATTGGATTGAAGTCAGCCGCTGGAATCCGTTCCTTCAAGTGTTTCTTCTGTTCGTGGTTATTAACCTGAATTTAACGTTTTCGTCATTTCATGGCGTTTTTCCTTCTTCCGTATGCTTTCTTCCGACTCTTTATTTCCCCCCTTCCGTGGGATTCTGCTGAGCCTTGACTCTTCTACGAGTACAGTATATGCTTCGCCAATGTCCAAATTGCTTCTACTGACGAATTTTTTTTTTTCGTTCCACCATTAAGTATTTTCCAACCATGAGCTGTATCAGGCATTTTTAATATGACTTCCTCTATCGTGTGTTTCCAGCGAGAGATTACGACTTGGATAAGACGGAGAAGATGTTTCGAGCCGTGAGTATATCTTCTTTCGAAGCCAGTGTCATTCCTAAAGAGCGACGATGCATTTCATAGGTCTTAACCATGAAATTATCGATTGATACCATACCGGTTCGTTGCTTCCTGAGTCGTGGGAAATATTCTTCAGAAAATCTCCCAAGGAGATGCGAATGCAAATTATTAGGTGGATGAGGTCCTACACCTCCGAATTGACCCTCGACACTCGAAGCAGCGAGTGGATCCAAAGGAAATCGGTCTTAATGGTATCACCCGGACATCCATATTTGTGAAGCACCTGGAATGGAGGGAGAAGTGGAGGCCGGAGTACCTGCGGGATGAGTGGAAGGTCCCGGAAGTGCTGCAGATATACGCGACGAACGGCTTCCTTGGATTCGACTTCGAAGGGTCACCCGGTAAGCATTAATGCTCTCTGCGTCTTTGAACAAACACCACGATTCGCCCTCTTGCCACTATCTCTCTCTAATGATCAATGAAATTGTTTCCATGATGAGGATTGAATAATACAACTTTTGTGTGTGGTAGAGGTTCCTAAGAATATTAACGCGTTTTTATGAAAGCAAACAGGCATCATCAAATGCTAATGTTTTCGCACTGAGGAAGTCACATTAGTTCTTTGAATATAAAAGAAAAAAATCTGCTAACAGTTGACAGACAGACGCTGGGTACCTTTGCTCAGCCACACTAAGTGTCTGTCGTGGGCGCGAATGGAGACATCATATATCAAATGTGTCTGCTTAAACTAGTGGTTCTCAACTTTCCCTTAACTCCCATTGAACCTTCATGCAGTCGGGGGTAATTACCCTCAGATTGAGAACCACTGGCTTTTAAATGGCCACAAAAATCTGGAGCACGAAGACGAGAGGGCCGGTTCTACTTTCGCACGACACGGTTCCAGTGTTGCTTGCGGACCTAGGCGGGATGGACCTGGAGGGGATCCTCTCCTGCGTCTCCAAGGAGGATTACATCCGATGGGCCATCCGGAAGTTAGAGCAATGCCGACAGAAGATGCGGATGGACCCTGCGGACGAGAGCGGGAATGAGGGCAGGACGCAGTTCGTTAATGTCTGCGAACTTCAAGGCTGGTCCTTCTCCAAGATCTTCTCCAAGTCTGGTCCGTTTTGCTCATAATACATTTGGCACTAAAGGATGAGCGGAAGGTGGATGGAAGTATTTTATTGATGACGTTTTTTCGAATTCTAAAATCATGTTCTTCTTTTCATTTCTGACAATTGTGACTTGAAAGTGTTAATTTTCACAGAGGAAATGCTCAGTATTCATCATTCTCTCACCGAAACGGCATGTCATGCATGAAAACCGGAACGACACGGTATAGGCTTCCGGTCTAAGAAGTATCAGGGTTCCATCGTCGATTTACAGGCAAACGTAATCGTCAATGATTGTGTTCCATTCCCAAAAGAGGTACTTTTTTTCGCTCCTGTAACGTGTCGGGAACATATGGGAGAGTATTGCAAGCCTGCATCGAAAGAATGTATGTCTCAAAATAATTTAATTTTTGCAACATCACATTCTGGAATCACATCATGTTGAGGAATTTGCGGATCTTCCTTAATTGTTTGGAGTGTTCAGTCAAGGCTATTGAAGTAACTTAGCGAAATTTTGAAGTAGTTTGAATGTGATAACTAACGATCGTGATGCTCACACGCGTGGAATGATCTGACAGTGCTGGATTTATCGTCAATCATGGCGGAGATGCAAGAGGCAAACTACCCCGAACACCTCAAACGCACCTACGTCCTCAACGGTACGAGCAACGGTTCGTTGCTCCCTGATTCTTTGCTTGAGAAGTGCCTGCTCTGAACGAAGGGGTGTTGTGACCCAGTGCCTTGGTACTTCACGATGGCGATGAACATCATAAAGCCGTTTCTGCGCCGGGCCACGCTGGACAAGTTCGTCTTCCTGGGCGGCAAGGACCAATACGTGCCCGTGTTGACTCAGGTCATCCCGAAGGAGATTCTGCCCAAGTTTTGGGGCGGGACCAGGGTCGACGAGGATGGGGATCCGAAATGCCCTTCAGTTGTACGTATTCCACCTTCGCTGAAAACGTGAATGTCGCAGAAAAGCCCGCAGTTTTCCTGCATCATCTGAATAATTTAACTGCAATTACACCGTTCTAATTAAAAAAAAAAACAGCGGTTGATGAGGAGTGATCTGATGATCCCCGCCGTCTTTCTTCAATCACCCTATCGAAACCCCTATATGAGTGAGTATTTTATCCTAAACTAAGGGGAACTAAGCGATCTTCCACCTTGAGGAATTTGTTGTGATCGTGCTCGAAATTTCGAGCAATGAACGAAGGAGGAAGGGACAATATCCATTTTAGCTCGGGGAGAGCGCAGCTTTTTCTTCTAATGGTGTATTTACATTTATTTACTGTAGTAACATGAATAAACTTTTGCATAATGCAAGAAGAGACTAATTTGGAGAAATGGGCACATTGGGGAAATACTTTATTCAAATGAATGACAGGATTCCTTAAAAAGCTGCTTTTTTTTGGAAACGCGTTGTCTAGATCGGGAAAGGTGGAAAAGTGCCGGAGTCTCTGTATCGAAAGAATAAAAATGCTAAGGAGGAGAAGGAGAAGGAGCAAGAGGAGGAAGAGTCCGGAGGTGGAGATGAAGGAGTGAAGACCCTTCGCGGCGGGGAAGCCCTGAACCTGGAATGCCGCGCTTCCCGTCCGGGATCGCTTCTCAGGTAACCAGATAGGCTATTGCATCGGTGCAGTGGAACTAAGAGTCGGTGAGTCATACTTGGATTCCCGACCACCAAGGCAGTCCCCAAACCGTAGTCTCTGATGAGGAAACGCGCTAAGCCGACACGATCGTCATGACAAGTGTTGGTTTAACGACTGACATGGCACCAGCACCCATGCTAGCCTTAAAGATTTTATCCCTATGCAGGCGGCAGATTGGTCCGCCTGATGTGGTTTCGTTGTGCCGGAAGTGCCACCAGTGTAATAAGAAAATTTATTTACCAGATATGGAGATGAATTCCTATCAGAAAAATCAAGAACGCACTGTTTAGTAATACAGTGGTACCTCGCATAACGAACGCAATTCGTTCCAGCGGTGCGTGCGAACACCTCGCATAACGAACGCACCGCTGGAACGAATTGCGTTCGTTATGCGAGGTACCACTGTAATTGAAAAATGAACTCGAAAGACTAGCATTCGTTCACACCCAAATCATCCATACAAACTTACTCACACCCCAACAAAGCAGGGTAACGTTGGGTAATATGGAGAGGTCGGGTAATATTGGCACCTCCACTGGGGCCTGTCTGGTTGCATCTGGCGCGCTTGAAAAGGCATCATAATTTATGTAGAGGCACTCTGAATATGGAATTTTCATGGAGCGGCTACATCTTCAGTCCTTGAAATTGATTTCGGGGAAATGTGTTTCATACCTGTTTGAAGTAATTTTCATCTTGAGTTATTTTTTTTTCGGATAATCATAGCAAATCACATACCGATACGCGATTGGGAAATTCTGATAGGCGTAGTTTATCTTCTTTATTTCTAAAAAAAATTGGTAGCTTTGGTGCTTAGGTTTCGTCAGTACTTTAGGTATCCATATAACCCTTCTTTCCCGAAAACAGGAAACTCCTACCAACAGGACCAAATCCAAGGCGTTCTTCTTAAGGTAAGGTGGGATACCCAATTGATGGGCGCAAAAGCAGCTGCTGCAAGGGATGACATTTATTTTTTTTATAAATATATTGCTGCATTTATTGTAAATACTTAATTGGCTATTCAGAAAAAAAAACAGTTCGAAAGCGAATGACTTTTCCAGTTACTATTGATAGCTTATGGATTTTAAGGCGTTTTATAGTAAGATAACTTGATTGTGGCGCATTGCTAAGTTAGACTGCCCCCGTTATCAAACAGCTGGAAGTTCAGTACCGAAATGGATGGGGTGGAGTACTCAGTACTCCGGCTCGAAGATGGGGAGGAGGCGGGCAGCCACCTGGAGACTGGACGGTCGGTTAGGGAGCGGGAGCGAGTGGACAGTCACCGGGAGGATGTCTCTGGGGAGATCCTCCTCCAGGAGCCCGGTCTCTACTGCCTTCGGTTTCAGTCTGAGCGCACCAGTGACAGGCTCAGCTACGCCATCGTCGTCATCCCTCCTCTTGATCCACTGTAATCCCTCTCTTCCCACCGGTGAATTTGATGTATATGGATATATGCATTTCTTAATATGACATGCACATGTTTCATGTAAAGTATGCACAAATATGTACTTTTTCGTCTGCAAAAGTGCGTGTTTGATTGACATTTTTCAATTAACGCTTATTTAAAATTAAATTGGGCTCACTTCCTTTTCGTTTTATATGGGAATTCCACGTCATCCCTCCAGACTCCCAAACGAAGGGAACTACCCGTTCAAATCTGAGCACTTGCAGTTCTGCCGAAGACGACACGATGGTGGTGCTGCGGTGTCCCTAGGTTAAATTGTGCCTAGCGTTTGCATTTGATCGGTGTGATATTCCTCATTCATAGTCAATAGGATGTGTCGAGGCCTTGAAAAACGAGATTCTCAATTGGATTTTCCGAATAGCCTTCATTTAATTTAATTGCATCAAAATAATGTCTCCAATTACTGTATCACGCCCGTCACAGATCCGTAGCCAAGTCCAGAATATTGCCTTGATTCCTGTCTCTTTCATCGTCATCATCATCGTGCATCACGCTTCACTCATCTTCCACGAATTGCATATATTTCATCAAAGGCAAGGAAGGAGACGGGAAGGTGGAAATGGGTTAATCGAATTTCGTCAAGGGAGCTAGCTCATCTTCCCCTCATTTACCTTAGAAATAGATATTCATATCATAGCAGGATTTTTTATGGGTGTGGCTGTACGGATTTCATTGAAAAAGCTTTGCTGAGACATTTCGGTGTGATTTGGAGTTTTTTGAGGTGAATCCCTTTATCATACTGTATCTGCTGGCGAATTTTTTTCATCGACTTGGAATTTTAAGAAAGCAAGAAAATCTGAAAGATTGAGAATTTCGGGTTCAGGATGGTGAAATCGGCCTCGAATTGAAATGCAGTCTCCAGGATGTTCCGCTAGGGTTTCTCGAGTTCATCTCTCGTAATTCGTTTTAATTAGCTGAGGATCTGCAATAGCCGCACATGGAGAACTTAGGAATTCACGAAACGGCGTACTCGGCCATAAGCTGGGACTACGGATCGAGACGGTTCGACCCGCATGCATTGAAATGGGCGGTGGAAGTCGATCGTTCGCAAAGGGGCTCGCTCGAATGAGCCATGAGCCCTCTGATCGGCCTTCACGCGGATTCAATCATCACTGCCGTCGTGTGCATAGGAGGCTGTAGGGAGACGAGCGAGGGGTACTCGCGGTCCGCTTTGAACGAATGCGCGGAAACGCATTCTGGAGAGGTGCCCGCGTCAAGCAGAAGTTGAAATGCCTAAAAACTGAGGTTTATTAATTCTTACATGTCGATTGGGACGGCCCTTCGTGCGAGACGCTCCGTCCTCGAGAATAGTTCCTCGAGATATGTTTTAACTAATGATTACTTCAATCACCATATGGTGATTATGGCAGCTGGATGGGATGGGGATCATAGGCTCGGGCTGTTCCTCTGGATTTCCGAATGGTTGAAAGCATTTTAGATCGCGAGGTACGGTGGGCAGAAGGGTGCCCAATGGAGGAGGTGCCTCGAGTCGAGGATGTCGTATGCAAAATACGCTGGCTCATGCCGTCGGTATTGCAAGCGACGAGGCGATGCGGCAAGCGAGAATGCCGATGAATGACGATCGAAAGACCGGATCGATTCGATCGATCGGCTGTCGGGCAATATAGTTAAAATCCGTCGATACGCTGCTTGAAAGGTGGACGTGATGTCGATCGGTCACCGTGGCGGATCGTGCGAAACAGGACGGGATATCGCGAACCGGAGTTACATCACGTAGCAAGATAACGATAAGAGTGAATAAGAAAAAAGCTCCTCTGTGAAGAGGGAGCGGGACTTATCAGAGTTCCGGGTTTAGGCGCACATGGGACTGATGGAATTCTCTCTGCATCTGGCGAGAGGTGCTTCGGGGGCCAAGGCCCTTCGAAGGCCAGGCGCGTGGAGGCACGCCGGGAGGCATCTCGGCTATAAAAGGCCGCGACTGCGATGTCTCCTCTCATTCTCCCTCGGGCTCTCGCAGAGTCTGCGTCGGCTTGGCTCTTTCCCTCGTTTGGCTCTTCGTCTCCGCCGTTGATGTTTGGCTGTTTCTTGTCGTTCTGTTCTGTCGCTTTTATTTATTTATATATTTTTTTTTACTTCACTTTTTACGACTTTCCCTTGTCGAGTTGGAATTGTTTTCGACCGCTCGCATTTTGCCAGCCGTTTCTCTTAATTCTTTCATGCCTGAATTATGTTTTTTATATGGGAAAACTATTATGGTTAGTTTTGTGGATTCAACAAAGCATAGGAAATGCATACATGTATTTTTTGGTATGAAGTTTTGTTCAAAATGAATTTAATTTACTTAAATCTTACTAAAAATTAAATCAAATCATGCAACTTCATTAGTTCTAGTAGAAATCCAAACCTAGTCTTCCATGGACTGCTTCTCAACATGTTTATGTTAATTTCCAAAATATAACTTTTGAAAGACTGGGGAAAAAAAGCTGGAATAGGAATTTATGGAAATTTTTCCCTCATTAAATTTTCGAAAACGTTTAAATTATTTATTTTTGATCTGTTCTAGATCCGTGCCGATACCCAATTAACACATTGTAAGCGAGTCATCACATAGATTGCATGACTGTCGTGAAGCTGACGTACCTGCTATTTGAAATAATTTCATGGGTGAGGCTGGAAAAATTCTTGAAACTCAAGATCTTGAAAGTTGGTGATGCAAAATGGCGTCATGGGACTTGAAATGGTTAAACAATGGTGACATGGGCAAAGGCAGCAGACAATCAGGTACGACATTCAGCTGTTCGAATGCTTTGGGAAACTGAAGGAATTGTGACTCTTCCATCGCGTTGCACAGGGTCGGAAAAACGGGAGAGCCAGAGGGGAATGGTCGTTGGAGAACAAAATAAGGGGATGGACGCAGTCTGCTTTGTCATTTGCTCTCTGGTGATCGTGATGGCAGTCGCTGGAACATGCGTCAGAAGGGATCAGCCGTTCCATTTTGCTTCAATGCACCTCCGCTTTGCACTCGACACTGCGTCTATTCAGCAAGGTCGAGATCGAGATGCCTATGAGGTAGAGGGAAGATAATTCGGAATTGCATGTGACGAGTCCGTCGAATTCGCCGAAATCTCGCTCTGAAATCAGAGAGGAATAGAGACAGAAAATGAAAATTGCAAGGACTGAAAAAAAAAACAACGTGTCGGCTCAGTTCTGAAGCACAAGAAAAGAAGGGAAAGAAAATACTCGCTGAAACGTCCTATTCGGACGTGAAATGTAGGCAAAGTTGTGACGATGAGAATTGTCCCCTCAACTGTGCTATTCGCACCCGTTCCAATTCTTCAGTATAGATTCTGGCTTAATATTACGCCCTGCACAGTTGTGGGGCAAATGAAAGGCAGGCTATTTGTGCCGTTTCACGGAGTCTCCAGTTTCCGATCTAAACATCAAGGATGTGGAAGAGGGCGGACAGAGCGAGCTTTGCCACGATAGTCTTGGTTGCCGACTGTGAGGAAACTTGAAGGAGGGGGGAGGGGAAGAATCCAGCGTATTTACTCGTAGTTTCTCGAGTAAAAGCTGAAAGGGAAAGAGAAGAGGACAAAACTTCAAATATTGCAATAAGGCTACGAGGCGCGTTCCAAGAGATTCTGCCCGAGGAAGTTCTAGTTGTAATACTCCGTTCTCACTTTTGTCATGGGAAGACAGATGTCTTTGATGGTGAATGGTGTTAATTGTCTTAATTAATCTTAATTGTCGATGTTGGATAGCTTCTATTAATTTTTTTCTTCGATGTGCTACCAAAGGATCAACCGAAGGGGTATTAAAATGAAGACGAATGCCTTAATGGAATTTTCTAACCTAGGAGTCGATCTCCCAGCAGATCTTTCAGCGGCTGAGAGGATAGCGTCCTGCACAAAAAAAAGGACTTGTAAGCCCAGTCAAAAATTTTTCCATCGGGATATCGATGGCTTTTCGTCGACGCATATACCTCGTATAAGCCTTAGTTGGGCCATAACTGGCATATGGTTGGCTTACGATTGGTTTAAGCCGACTTATGGTCGGGCTTGTCCTGTTGGCCCTACTTTGGGCAATCTTTGGCTCATGGTTGGGAAACCTCACATGCCCCAACCAAAAGACGTTTTTCCACTATGATGAAAAGATGTAGGAAAAAAAACCCACATAATTTGCATCTATTGCATTATGCTTCTTGGAAAGACGAGAATGCATATGTAGGCCCCTTGCTGCTCCTTCAGCTAAGAGAGATGAAGCTGTACCAGAGGGCCTTACACAGGTACGCTCCATCGTCAAGAGCTGAGAACGTCCCAATCAACATCTCTTCCGGATGCTGAGGCATCGATATCACTTGACATGATTTCAATTGGATTATCTGGAAATTAGAAGGATCCTCCGACGAACCTCCGGGCCGGAATTTCCTGTTCTATTCGAGGGCAACATCTTCAGATAAATGTTTCAAGGAATTCAATTGTCTTCCTCCGAGATCTATGTGAGAAACCATAGGGAGCCGCGTCGAAGGGACAGGAGACTCATTTGAGTAGAATCCGGGAAGCGACTCCCTACTACGACCACTCCGTCTCCCGCTGGTTTCCGGGACCTTCCCGGCCGCGTTGGTTCATCTTGGGCGAACGATTTCCCGGTCAATCATTCCTTTGGATCGGAAGATCCTATGGTAGCACATTAAAAATGTTGAACATAAAATTAATAGAAGCTATTCATCATCTCTGAACGAGATGAAACATTTCCAGTCACCATCAAGGACATCTGTCTTCCCACGAGAGAGGCAAGAACGGTGTATTGCAGCGGGAAGCGCCTCGGGCCGGAAACGTTTTTTTTTTAACGCCCCTCGTAGAGTGCTCAAGATCTATGGAAATCGGTGCAAGAAAAGTTGTGAAGCAACTTTTCTTCTCATTTGTACGTTGTCCTTCTTTGTCATGGCGCTGGTTCTTCGTTTGGCGAATAAACACTACGCGAGCCTCATGCACGCCTTAACGCGATGAATGAGAGGAATGAAGGCTGTGAGTGTGGGCAAGCCTCGTTGCTCCTCTCGTTTACCCTCGTTACAAACAATCAAGAGTAAGGGCTTCGTTCGAGCCGTTCCTCGACGAGCGCAGCTTATCGAGGGGACGGGGGGGGGGGACTGAAAGCGAGTATCATCCTGGCTTCGTCTCCCTCACACGCACATTCACACACTTTGGCGTGCATCTGCGCTTTCTTTGCCGGGACGTGCGTGAGCCTCCCCAACCGATTTCGGTCTAGTCTATTCCTCTCTTTCGGAGCGGTGTGGTCCCTCATCCCGAGCAGCGTTGCCCTCCGCGTGCGATCCTCATGGCTTCTTCTGCGGACCAGCGGGAGGCTTTGCGAAAGGTCAGTCCTGGCAGGGCTGGGAGCCGAGATACGGGGGGGCGGGGTTTAGGGGCGACGGCAATAGCCCTGCTCGAGTTTCTACCTAATTTTCGAAAATTCGGCGAAAAACGGTTTATTGGACTTTTCACTTGCAATTCGTGTATGCCTATGTGAGAATTAGGGTCAGAGTTGTACTGTAATGCGTAACGAGTAACGTATTACATGAAAGACGTTACCAACATTGGGACCGCGATGCCATTGGGCTCAACCAATGTTTCATGGCAAGAGTCGTATTTTGAAAACTGTCATGAAAAAAATGAACAGCAGGCCCGCCATCTGGCGGTGATTCAGGCAAACAAAGTTTCATGACTCAAAAGATAGGTGACGGATGACTCACCCTTCCCCCCTACTCCTCTCCCCCCTACCCCTAGCCCTCCCTTCTCCTCTCCTGGCGCCCCCCCCCCCCCCCCCCCCCCCCCCCCCGCCCCCGCTTCATTTTAGTGACAATTGCAACCGGAAACAGAAAGTCGATGTCCCGGAAATGAGGAATCCATTGTGCATCCGATACGCCGAGTCAAAGGTGGCCGAAACTTTCGACCCATCCGCAGACGAGAGAATGCCAACCTGTTTCCCTGTTTCTCATCCATTATTTTTTTCGAAATGTGTCCTTTATTTGTCCTATGTGTCCTTTTAAGTAGCAGACTTAGAATCGTCATTTTTGGAAAAAAAAGAAGAAAATTTTCCTAAAAAATTGGATATAATCATACTTCAACTCGTGCAGATTCATAATATCGCCATAAAAAGCTGAAAATATCAAAATAATATTTAATTAGCTTGATTCGTTATGAATGTCCCTAACCTGTTGCCCCCGGCAACCGCGTTGGTCGCGATTTCCCCGTTACAACGTTTTTTTAGCATAACCTTTCGTGTAATGCACCCTTATCCTTCAGTTTTTCGATTACCCAATAATTTAGCACTTTTTTAAAGTACCAGTGAATATGTAATTAAGTCACAAAAAATCGCTAAAAATACAAATATAATGATTTTTGAAAAATTTCCCCTATTTCTTGAAAGACTGTTTCCCTCAGGACATTTTGTAAGGATTCGAACTACAACAATTGTCAATTCCATGAAATATATGTGAAACATCTGTGAGAAATACTGTTTGAAAAAAAAAGTTCGCTTTTTGTGCTCTGGCGGCCATATTGGACCTTATTAGCGTAAATTAGGCGAATTATATCAATGAACGCAATATTTGCCCAGTCAACTATCATATAGTCAGTTTGGTTTTTACAGGGAAAATGTGGTCCACGTGCGCAGACCGGTATTACTTTCACCCGATTATTTCAGGCAAAATTTCAAACATTCTTTCGTTTCACGATGAAATGGATCCGATAGCTGCCAGAAGGTCTCAAGCGACCACATTCATCCGTGCAGTTGCAGGAGAGGTTGCGAGACGTCACCATTCCGGATGGGATCCGCCACGATGCCTTCCTCCTCAAGTTCCTCCAGGGTATGACCGCAGATGTCCCCGGGCACCCGCTCCTTCTGCAATTAGTATGAGCAGTAGATATTCGGGCAGTCACCTTTTATTCGGTTTAATTTTCGGTGTGAGAGGACGAGAAGCGGCATGTATTAGGGGGCAGGGGCAGTTTCTCGTCCTTTGCGCTGCCTCCGCTAGGTGTCTCTCTTGGAGCGATGGAGGCCGATGCAGGAATTACCCGCCTTCACGGAGCGATTCGGTGCATTCCACTTCATATCCACTACCGTTTCGTTCTTCCCTTTAATACCACAAACTTCCAGATTTCTTGGGGAGAGGAGAAGGGAGGGCTAGGGGTAGGGGGGAGAGGAGTAGGGGGGAGAGGGGTGGGGGGAAGGGGGAGGGGGAAATACTACGCAGGTACCCTCAGATTATGAAGGTTTAAATGAATTTCCGGAGGCACTCCAGTCCTTTCCATGACCTCGCTTGAAGAGTATCGGAAGACGGGGCAGCAACAGTCTAAGACAACTCGTGAAACGGGTGTGTCAAGTCTTCAGTAAGTGATGAAGGAAACTGCTTAGATTAATAGCCTTTCTCCAGCCTCGTCTCGTATTTGCTCGTCGCGACGTGCGACCAGGGTCAGTTATCTGAATTTTCTCCCCCTCGTCGCCTGAAATTGTGGCTTAAGGTGATGCTCGAAAAAAAGCACAGGTATTGTTCACCTTAGCGACGGGCTCGGAGACCGGATTCTCATGACATAAAGCTCTCTAAATACCATTAGTAAGACTCGCATAGGCCTTGAATATCGAGAGTTCCACAAGGAATCGCATTCTTTTTAGTGGGCCTCCTTTCCTGAAAGAGAAGAGACCAGTTATGGCCCCGTCCTGTCCTTCCGTGTGTCCGTGTGTCACACTTTGGTTGTCCGATGACGAAGAAAATTTTTGGCCTGATCAATGCGAAAATTGGCAAGCGGATAGATATGAACAAGGTACAGGCTGAGTTCGTTTCGTGACGAATTCGCACCTTTAATTAGCATTCTTATTGCACATTTTGGATTTGAAAGTTTGTCACGCAGGGGGAAGGCACTCGTACCCGTGGGCCCTTGAGGCTCTGGACCACAATGCGCATGCGCGCACGACCCAGGCTTTGGGTGCGGCGCCGTGTCAGTGACTGTACAGTAGAGCTGTCAGTTCCCTGCCAACATTCGTGGCGGATGGATCCAACCATGCACAGCCCTCCGTCCTCCCATCACCGTTTCATGGGCACCGTTTGTCTCTGTTTACCAAACATAATTGAGAAATGAAGTTTTTGATGGTGCAAGACCCAAAAGAGATGGGAATTTCTTTCAATTTGGTGACAAAATGAGTTTCCTTAACTGAAAGGAGGCCCATTACTGGACTAGGCTTGCCCAGCTCGTTTCTTAATGCTCTTCAAGATGAAAATCTTGGAATCGAGAAGTTTCGCGGATTAGCGGATTCGGCCCAGAGTTTGCACCCGTGCAGGCCCATTAATGCAACTTCCTTGTGTTTCCTAGCGAGAGATTACGACCTGGACAAGGCGGAGAAGATGTTTCGAGCCGTGAGTGCCCCCTCCTTCCGAAAGCCCCAGTCATCGAGGAAGAGCGAAGACGCACGCAGCAGGTTCAAGAAAGTTTCCGGTCTGGGTTCGGCCCGCCCCACCGATCGCGGTTAAAGGAATTTAGTCGGCGTTTCATTTCGTACTGTACTGTAACTACTGGCCCTGGCCGGTATCACCTCATCGGCCCCGGGAAAACGTTTACCTTTCAAAAGATTCTTCTTCCGCGGGAACAGATAGAAATGGCACGGAGCGAAATCAGGCCAGTAAAGGACATTTCACACTTTGCGCGTGACGCGTGCGATTTCGACACGCATGCGGCATGCGTCTGCATGCGTCCACATTCGAACGGAAGGGAACACGCGAGTACATGTATGCCCACACGCCTTTACGATTAGAAAGGAATCGCAATCACTATGTTATGAATAGGGTTTTCTTTTACTGATCAGAGTTTATATTTCAATGTGATATATTGGATCGCCCTTCCCTGACTGGCAACAAATTTAATATTTCTCTTTTTGACCATTTTGTCCCTATATCTATGAAATGCCCCAAATGCGTGAAGGCATGCCATGTACACGCGTGTTCCCTTGCATTCGAACGCATGTGGACGCGTGCAAACACGCTAGCCGCACGCGCGTCGAAATCGAACGCATCACTCGCTAAGTGTGAAACGACCTTGAGGTGGGTATGGTGGAACAGTTGTTTCCATGTCTGCCAAGAAATACGTCGAATCAGTGACCGGTGAGCAGGTGTGTTATTGTGAGGAAAATCTCGCCCCTCCTGGAACCACCACCCTAACACCTGGGACCTTGAATGGCTTCCTTCAAAAGTGTGAGGGTCTCTGTAGTTTCTTTCCCTAATGAAAAAAGAACATTTACATTCACCAGCTGCTCGAATCGTAACATGTTCGCTGCCAGACATCAGAGCGACGAATGACATTAGTTGCTTTGCACTTGGTTGGGCTCTATCAGTCTTCTGGCGCGTTCCGTATACTTCACAAGCGGGAAGCGCATGAAGTAGATATCAAACTCTGCATCTCTTCCGGCGATATGTTCTGGGCTACCTAGATTGGGCTCAGTCCTCCCAGTCCGGAAACTTTTTGAACCTACTCCGTAGAGAACTCAACAGTCGCATTGAGGATGGATAGTGGACTGGATTCGTTGTTTCCTGGGTCGCGGGAAATTTTATTAAGATGGATAGGGATGGATGGATGCACGTCCGAATCGGCCCGCGACCCTCGAACCAACGAAACGGATCCAGAGGAGGTATATCTCGATGGCATCACCCGGACATCCGTGTTTGTGAAGCACCTGGAATGGAGGGAGAAGTGGAGGCCGGAGTACCTGCGGGACGAGTGGAAGGTCCCCGAAGTGCTGCAGATATACGCGTCATCCGGTTTCCTCGGACACGACTTCAAAGGATCACCCGGTGAGCATGATCGCTCTCTTGTCACTATCTCCGCAATGAATGATGAAATCGCTTTGATGATAAGGATGAATATAAGAACTGTATGGCATGATAGTCACTCAAGCATTTCAACGCGTTTTTATTGAAGAAAGAAGGCGTAAAATTGTTCTACGATTCGTATTTTCATATTAACGGAACCACGCGTTCTTTGAATACATAAAAAAAATCTGCGAACAATTGACACATAGACGCTAGATACCATAGGCGCCGACCTTTAAAAAATATTGGGGGGGCAAGTTCATAATGCCCCTGAAAGAACAATGATGCAATTATTCCAGGATCCATTGGGGTAGCTCAGTATTATTTTGGTAGCATATTGACGAGCGGGGGGGGGCATGGCCCTTCCACCCCATACCCTTATGGGGTAGGACAGGGATCTCATCCAGTTGGAGCTCGAAGCAGAAAGGAAAATAATATTTTTCATTTCTTTCGGGAAGCAGCATTTTGTTTTCAATTTTCCATGTGCTATACTTTTGTTGAAATTTTGCCATTCTTGGGGGGCATTGCCCCCTCAATAATGTAGTTGGGGGGGGGGGGGGGGGGGGNCTTTTGTTGAAATTTTGCCATTCTTGGGGGGCATTGCCCCCTCAATAATGTAGTTGGGGGGGGGGGGGGGGAAGCACGTGCCCCATTGCCCCCCTGGGTTCGGCGCCTATGCTAGATACCATTGCTCAACCGCACTAAATATCTCTCGTGTACTGGAATTGAGAACTCATACATTCAATGGCATTTGCCAGAGGGAGAAATATTCGTACTTGTGTAATTTTTGGGAGCTCCAGTAAGGAGTACATGACCGACATGGCCTTTTGGAACGAGTTCATACAGCCTTGAAGAACCTCTAAGTATTCATGCAGTTTGTCTTTATAGAATGCTGTGAAAGACCATTCCATATCACCCCATTCTCCCCCTCCCCTCGGGAGAGGCGGCTTAAGCTAGAACTGGTTTTTCTACAGGTACAGTCCTGTTCCTTCCTTCTGAACGAGAAGTATTCGCGACCAGATAAGAAGAAACCTTGATTTGAAGTATTATAGGCTCAACAGTACAGATCCATTAGTAGACAGCTGTGAAGTGTTTGTCCAAAGGTTTACAATGTTTCTCGATGACATGCCCAATTTCGTCTGGGTTGACAAAGACCAAAGTGTTCGCTTTAACGGTCACAAAAATCGGGAGCACGAAGGCGAGAGGACCGGTTCTACTTTCGTATGACGTGGTCCTAGTGATGTTTGCGGACCAAGGCGGGATGGACCTGAAGGGGATCCTCTCCTGCGTCTCCAAGGAGGATTACATCCGATGGGTCATCCGGAAGTTCGAGCAATCCCGGCAGAAGATGCGGCTGGAGCATGCAGACGAGAGCGGGCCGGCGTCGCAGTTCGTCATGATCTTCGAACTTCAGGGCTGGTCCTTCTCCAGCGTTTTCTCGAAGGCCGGTCCGTTTTGCTTCCAACGTTTTTGGCACTAAATGATAAGCCATTTGGGGAGACGGAAGTATTTGTTGGACGAGGGCTATTCGGAAGCAGATATGTCTTTTCGTTTTTGACAGTTGTGGCGTGTATCAATTAAGTATTAATTTTCACCGAGGCGATGTTCGGTTTTCCTTATTTGCTCACAGTATGGATATGTCGCGCGTGTGAACCGGAATGACACTGTTATGGGCTTATACTACTCCTCGTGTGGTACATAAATCAGGATTACGTATCATTTATCATCGATTTACGGACAAAGACATCGCAATCTTTAATGACGGTGTTCCTTTCGGAAAACAGACACTTCCAGTAAACTTTATCGGTCTTGCAAGGAATATTGAAGGCAGGGAAGAGTACTTAAAGCTCGCTTCGAAATGACGTATGTCTCGATTTCATTTTGGAAACAATTTTTGCATCATCTTCCCGTATTAAATCATGTTGAGGAATATGCAAAATCACGTCATTGTTATATCGTTCTATCTAAACTAATGAATTAATTTAGTCATTTGTGTTTGGAATTTAAATATGATTACTTATGAGTGTGATGACGATACATATGAAATGATCTGACAGTGCTGGACGTATCGTCAGCCATAGGGGAGATGCAAGAGGCAAACTACCCCGAACACCTCCAACGCGCCTACTTCCTCAACGGTATGAGCGAGTCCCATCCGCGCATATTCTTTTTTACCGAAGTAATGCCTGCTCCGAACGCTGTCGTGACTAGTGCCTTGGTTCTTCACGATGGCGCTGAACATCGTGAAGCCGTTCCTGCACCGGGCCACGCTGGACAAGATCGTCTTCCTGGGCGGCAAGGACCAATACGTGCCCGTGTTGACTCAGGCCATTCCGAAGGAGATTCTGCCCAAGTTCTGGGGCGGGACCAGGGTCGACGAGGATGGGGATCCGAAATGCCCCTCTGTTGTACGTATTCCACCTTCGCTCAAAACGGGAATGACGAAGAAAAGCCCGCAATTTTGAAGCATTATCTGAATAATTTTAACTGCTATAATTTTTTTTTACTGCCGTAATTTAAATACAATTTTACAAAGGCAGGGCAAAGAAGAGTCATTTACGTGAAATTTACATGAAATGGGCTTTTTGGAGAAATGGAAAGCAGCATGACCAGCTTCCCTAAATATCACTATTTTTTTTACTACGGAAACATGATGTCTAGATCGGGAAAGGTGGAAAAGTGCCCAAGTCCCTGTATCGAAGGAATAAAAATGAAAAGGAAGCAGAGGAGAAGGAGCAAGAGAAGGAAGAGCCCGGAGGTGAAAGGGAAGGAGTGAAGATCCTCCGAAGCGGAGAAGCCCTGAACCTAGAATGTCGCGTTTCCCATCCGGGATCGCTTCTAAGGTAAACGGATAAGCCATTGCATCGGTACGGTGGAGTTGGAAGTGGAGGTCGGGGAGTCGTACTTGTATTCTCGATCACCAACGCTGTTTCTACATGCAGAATGATCCGGGTTCTCGAGTCTTTTTTGAAGCAATTCTTGAAGTAATTGCTTTCCTAACCGTGTTTTGCAATACTCTTCACTGCATTCCTTCTCTTTGGTCTTCTCATCTAGCGAATCAGACGTGGGAATATTAAAACTAGCACTGGCAATCCGTGTGCCCCTCGTGAAATGCTAATGAAGGAAATGGTTAACAAGTGAAGTTTATCTGTGTCGAGTGAAAAACCTGAACCCTAAGCTGCAGTCTCTGATGAGAGTTAACGCCACGCCAGAAAGGCCGTCATACCGAGTGTCGGGAAGGACCGCCACGCCACCGGCATCCTCGGTGGCCTGCCTCATCATTCGACAGGCAGCAGATGAGTCTGCCTGACGTGATTTCGTCTTGCTCGCTATTCCACCAGAACTGAGAAACGGGAAAAGCTCCAGATGTGCTTACCAAACTTATTCTGATGTGCAGATGCATTCTCATCCCAAAAATCAGGAATTCGGGATAAGTATTCGAGAAAAAATCACTAACGCAAAAGACCTGCATCTGTCCATGCGTCAAGCATGCCATACCAACTTACACCTCGACCTGCCAGGATCCCCATGCACAGGGAACTTATATTCCTGCCGACTGGATCTTATCCTTGCTCTCTTTTGAAGTGGGGTAGGATTGCCGATTTATGGGCTGAAGAGCAGCCTCTGTATGGGTGACATGTGGGAAAAAATATTTACTTTCAGCATTGGATTGGCAATTGAGAAAAACAGTTAAAAAACCGAATGACTTCTCCATTTTTTACCAGTTGAATTTATCTGTACCGGCTGTACCGGTGGCCACATTCGGCCGGTTTTTCCTCATAACCAGCGGCCGGTGCCGGTGTCGTATGATATTTTTCCCCGCGTAATATTTTTCCCCACCTCCTTTAATGGAAATGAAGGGAGTTCGCCTCTTTCCTCGGCGGCTATTTCTTCCGCGCCTTTTCGTGTTCCTTTTACGCCTCCATCTGCCTCGCTAACGTCTAAGCCAGTGCTGACTCCTCGGGGCGATCTTGAAAGCCACATCGAAGATTCAAGGAGGTAAAAGGCAAATGAAGGCAGCCGACATGAATGCAGGGAGGAATGAACATCGTCCTTTGCAGGAGGATGTTTTGCTGTGATTTCGTTTGATCAGTTTCTGACAGTAAAGATTGGCAATCTCAAAAATCTCTTTTGGCAATCAACAAACTTACAACGTTTTTTAAACGAACTCCCATCATTTCCATTAAGGGAGGTGGGGAAAAATATTACGGGGGGAAAAATATCATACGACACCGGTGTCAATTGTGGCCTGTAGAAGATATCGCCTGTAAATTCAAATAGGCATCTCGAGGCATTCTATCTCGAAACGATAGAAACCATTTTGATCCTGTCCAGTCTGTCTGTCTCTCTGTGAGGCTGTCAGCTAGTTATCCACTGTTGCTGTTGAGAGCATTTAGTGGCACATCCCTTGCAAAAGCATGACGTCAGTGGAGACGCTATGACTTTCCCTATTTACCGCTCCTTTACTCTGCTGGTTCCTATAATCCGGCTGTAATATAATCCGGTCGATATTTTTGTCGAGGTCAGGAGTGGCCGAAGTGAGACAGGAGGACCGGGGCCTATCCGCGTGAACACATTCACGTAATTGTTTTTTTTTTCGCTTTGCCCGTCCTTTGGGCAACGGCACCGGCGACAGACACCGGTGTTAGCCGATACATCGGTACAGCCCTAATTTATTTGATTTTAAAAAGTTAGATGACTTGATCGAGGTGCATTGCTAAGCAAGACTGTTCCGTTCTCGTTCGTGCAGCTGGAAGTTCAGCACGGAGGAGGAAGGGTTGGAGTACTCAGTGCTGCGACTCGAAGATGGGAAGCCGAAGGACAACCACTCGGAGGCCGTCTCCGAGCGTCCAGTGAAGGAAAGGGAGCGAGTGGACAGTCACCGGGGAACTGTCTCTGGGGAGATCCTCCTCCAGGAGCCCGGTCTCTACTGCCTTCGGTTTCATTCAGAGTCCTCCAGTGACAGGCTCAACTACTCCATCGCCGTCGCCCTTCCTCCTGCTCCGCTGTGATCCCTCTCTTTCAAGCGGTGAATTTGAAAAACATGTATTTTCAACATGACATATTCACATTTTCATATAAAGTATGTACAAACATGACAATTTTTGTTCTTAAAAATTATGTTATTCATTGGAATTACTGATTGACATGTTTTAATTACTGCATATTTCATATTAAAATCGATCCTTATCTTTTTTTTTCGTCACATACGGAAATTCGAGCAGTGTGATATTCCTCTTTCATTACGACGAAAAGCTTTGAAGCGGCCTTGAAAAAGGAGGTTCTCAATTTTCTTAATCTCTTCAATCAAGTTACTGTAATGGAATTACTGTAATTAGCTCGTCATCGATCCCAAGCCCAGTCCGGAGTTTGCTCTGCGCCCTGCCTCTTCCATCGCAGCGGCATCATTTCGCTCCCAGCTTCTGCGAATTCTGCAAATTTCATCTCAGCAAAAGATGGAGGCGGGAAGATGAAAATGACTTAATTGGATTTCGTCCAGGGACCTCCCCATCTGCAGCTAATCATATCTCCGTGATGCAATTAGCAAATACAATAATTAAAAAAAAAGGCCTGCAGTACCAGTAACCCGACAGCCATACAAACATTCTTCACAGTTTCAAATAACGTGAGAGTTTTCACACTGAGCCAACCGAATGTTCTCGAGTCGCGTTAAAACTGGTGAAGAAGCAGGCAGCCCTCGACCTGTTCCGTTTGCTCTTTGTCAAACTGAATTCCATTTCCTACAACGGGTAGAAAGACGTCATTTTTAACTCTCTAGTCCGCATTTGCGTTTCTTATCTCAGTATTTACCTTAGAAAAATATTGATAAATTACAGGCTTTCACTTAATGCCTCTGGGTAACGACGCATTAGGGTGGTGATTATGGTAAGGAAGAGCGCGATTCGTTTCTGTATCTCGTGCGGCCCCTGGAAGACCGTGGAACATGAGGAAATGACGGTCCTCGGCTTCACGGATCGAGATGGAAACGACGAGATCCACAACTTCTGCCGGAATCCTGACGGAAATACCGCCCCGTGGTGCTACAACGGGGAAGGGGATTCCCCGGAATGGGAGCACTGCGACCTTCCCTTCTGCAACCTCCAGGAACCCGAGCGAGGACCCGAGGGGAGCGAGTACCCGGAATGCCGACTGTCGCAGAAGGGGAAGGAATACGTGGGGACGAAGAATGCGACCGAGACGGGAAAGCCTTGTCTACGTTGGACGTCTCGGCCTTATGGCATGCCTTGGGACTTCTTCGATCGGGAGGTGGAATATGCGCAGCTCTTCCTCAACATGGATCCAGCGATCCACGAGAACTACTGTCGGAACTCAGGATTGTATAGGGAAAAGCCTTGGTGCTTCGTCTCTGACCCTGACATCCAAAGGGAATACTGCCATGACTCTAGTACGTCTCTCATTCTATTTCCTGCTATTTTTTATATGCTTCGCGGGTTGAGAAGTGTTTCTTTACATTTTGTGTCCTCCAGAATGCAAGCGAACGAGACAGGTGGTCGCAGTAAACAGTTCACTCGTGCTCAACCATTCTTTCGATTTATGGTCGTATTGTATAAAACCCCATCCAACATTCATCGAAGGGTTGTCGATACGGATCGTCGCCGTGCATGAGTCATTTCTTGCAGGTCGACGGAACAAGGTAGAAGCAACCGTATGCGACCTGGACCGGTTCGACGAGCGTACGCACTCCGGTAAGAGAGAACTCTCTTCGTCGAAGAGAAGATGAATGCTCTTGAGACGCGGACGCCGCGCGATCGGTCTCTCGGTTCCTCGTTCCGCCTCGCGTCGGCGACTCGGCCTCGTCCGATGAAGGCGCTGTTGGCCGTTCTGGTGTCGTTCCTGTCGATGGAGGCCGTGGCCTCGAGGGATTTCGTCTATCGCGCCATCCCAGTGGGGCAGACGTACGAGGACGTGGCGTCGGAGTCCACCGCGTCGAACCTCGCGACCTGCGGCATCGCTTGCGTCCGCGGATCGCCGCGACCCTGCTTCGCTTTCAACTACCGCGGTTCCGACGGAACCTGCCAGCTGGTTCGCGACGAGAGGAGCCGCCTCGTCGAAGCCGACGGATTCCTCTCCTTCGTTTCTGGTGAGTCCTACGGTTTCGCGTTGGATGCAGCGGCGATAATGAAAAATGCAATATCGTTATTTTTCTAATAAGTTGAATTTCAACTTATTCGAAAAAACTTATTCAACTTATATTCAACTTATATTCAACTCACATTCAGCTTATATTCAACTTATTCGAAAAAAAAGTAATGCTTTAAGCATTGCTTTTTTTTTCTCCGGAGGGAATCCCACGGCATCATCTGGTGCATCTCTGCATCATTACAAAAACGATGCAGAGCCATGAACTCGAGGAATGGTGTGCCTTTCACACGCTCTCTTTATTTCCGAAGGATGGAGTCGAGGAACGAAATTCGGATAATTCTTTCTGCCCGAAAAATTCTACAGGAATCCTATTAGTTTCTCGGGAAAAATCTCGCAGAATTCCTATCGGATTCTTTCGTATGGGCTCCTTCCTTCTCGACGACCGAGAAACATACACGGTATCGAGCGAAAGCACGGCTAGATCGCGATGAAGTGCATGGGAATTTGTTTCCCGAAGGCCATTATGCAAAGTGCACCATCTGTCGCCCCACCGCCTGTGCCTCGGCAACGGCTAAGCAACGGCGGAGCGGTCGATATCGTGGAGTTGCGGTCGATATCGTCGAGTTGCGGCCGATGGGGATTCCGGATGGAGTTTTTCTCCGGCGGTGAGAGAGTTTGTGACGACTAGGAAACACTAAAAAAAAAAAGACAATGTGACAGCGATTTCCTACCTCGCTTTACTGCGAGCAGTTTTCTTATTTGTTGGAAATACCCACATTTTCGCAAGAGGGAGATTTGGAAGGAAGCCACGGTAAATGGCCCTACTGTCAGTAACATCGACCGTGATGGTGTTTCGGGTAATTTGCGACTGTCGATTGCCCGACGCGTGACCGAATCAACTCGCTCCAACTCTCTATACTGGGCTACGACCCCAAATGCCATTAGTTTAGTTTACTAATTCCATAAGTCCGAAGTTTCTCGAGCGATGGCGATCTCAAAGGGTTGCTCTCGAGGAGCGACGGATCGCGTTTCCGTTTGGGATCGCCTCCAGGATCGATCGTTTTGGATCGATCCGGGAACCGTCGGTTCTTGTACCGATGGTCTGTCGTCCTGCCGTACGGCTGCTCGCCGGAGCGTGTCCGTTTCCCGGGTCGCCGCGACGGGTCGTTCTCCGTGGAAGACCCTAGTCGCTCTCACTCGCGGGTGGAGTCTTCTCTCCCCCGTCGCTGCAGTCTTCTCTCCCCCGTCGCTGCGCTCTTCGTCGCGGGAATCTCGCTCCCCCTGCTTCCAGGAATATGGGGTTCGCACACAAAAATCTCGAAGGGAACGTCGCTTTCGAGTGAGCCAAACCGGTCGAGCTAAGAGCATGGCTTAAAAATAGCTACGTCTCGCGTATGGAATCCTTCCACAATTCGCCGCCTAAAAGGATTCGAACGAGCAGATCGAAGAGGCATGTTCCCGCAGGGGAAGAAACGGAGACTTCGAAAGGAATTCGTCTCGTCTCGGGATTCGCATCGGCGCACGCGCGGCAACAGCGATCGCCCTCGCGAACGCCTTGCCGTAACGTTGCTCACCGCGAGACGGCGGTCGGCTGGCGAATTTTCGACGCGATTCCCGGACGGCGGACCGGGAGCCAAGGATCGACTCGAAGACGGAACTATCTAACGATTCTAATGAAACGCGTGAATGATTTAGTATTCCACGATGCGGCGACGAATTAGGCGATTTACATTGCAGCCGCGAGTCCGTCGAGCAAAATTTATCCTGATGAAATCTGAATATTATTATTATTATTATTATTATGTAAAACTAGTTTCCCGGAATCGTGAGCTCTCGGGATACGGAGTAGATTTGGAAGGCTTCCTCCGGAAGGTTGGGTCCGAGTCATCGGCCGAATTTATTCGGTAGTGCAGTCCTTCAGTCACGGTGCCATCCACGCTATCTCAGAGCAGTAGGAGTTTCAAGTTATCTCATGACACAACCAGCCTTAACTTAAGCAGCCGCAAAAGGGTCCAGACTCCAGTCTGGCTTCGGCAGAGCCGCTTGAGCGCCATTCGGCTAAGAGTCGCTCTCGTTCCATACGCATGTGAATTTTTTTTTCTCTTTGCAAAGTGTCCTTATTAATTTCAGGGGAGCAGCAGCAGCAACAGCACACGTATCCAGAGTGCAGGACGACCGAGAGGGGAAGGGAATACGTCGGGACGACGAGAGTGACTGAAAGCGGGAAGGCGTGCCTGAGATGGGACTCACAACCATATGGAATACCGGGGGACTTTTCCGACGCCGAAGAGTACGGGAAAAACTTCCCCAACCTCGACGTCTGGTCTCAGAAGAACTTCTGTCGGAATCCGTCCGGAAAGGCGAGGCCTTGGTGTTTCGTCTCCGACCCTCAACTTCAGTGGGAGCACTGTGACATCCCCATGTGCACGGATCCTGGTAATGCGATTTTTTTTCGGTATTTTGTGTCCCATTCCTTGCTGGATTGGCTCCGTACCTAGCACGATGGAAGATATCGGTCGTTATATTATGGTGCGACGGATAAAAA